AGGCAGTACAGTTCAAGAAAAGTCAGGCCTCTTATTTTTCCTCTTCTAGCATTTTTCTGGTTTAATTTTTAAGATTTCACTTCAATTTTTCCCTATCTATTTGAAATCTATATGATGTAGGGGTGGGTCTCTATAATTCTTTCTATTCATATAGTGTCATCCCAGTAGCTTTTGTTAAATGGTAATTCCTTATCCATTTATTTTTGGAACATTTATAATATCTTGTCTGCATAGGAGTCTGTTTTGAAATTATTCATTTGGCTATTTGATGGCTGTCTGCTAATTTCATGCTGATTCTGCTCAGTATCTACTCTTACTTTGACAAATATTCTATTATCTGGGAGCTCTCATTGTCCCATACTTCTCTCTTAGTCTGTTAGATTATTCTTTGGTATTTTCGTCTGTCTCATTTCTTATTGAATATTATTACCTGATGAAGTTTTTTTGTTTGTTTGTTTGTTGTTTGTTTTTTGTTTTTTTGAGACAAGATCTCACTATGTAGTTCAGACTGCCCTGAAACTCACTGTGTAGCCCAGGCTGGTCTCAAACTCACAATAATCTTCCTTCCTCAGCTTCCTGAGTGCTGGGATTACAGGCGTGCGCCACCACGCCTGGCTACCTGATGAAGTTTTGTAGGTATCTTTTACTACTTTAAGTCAAATTTTAAATCCATAAATTAACTTGGGAAAATTTGGACATTAAGTGTTCCTATCAAGGGCTGGGGTTTGGCTCAGTGGTTCTGCCACCTGCCTCACAAGTGCGAGGACCCAAGTTCGATCCCCGGTACCAAAAAAGAAAAAAAAAATGTTCCTATCAAGAAGCATCTCTTAGCTTTCATTAATTTCTGTCTTATTTTGTTTATCTTACTAAAGATCTGTGATGTCTTTTCTAAGTTAATAATACCTAGGTTTTCTGTTTGCCTGTCTGTTCTGACTGAATATTTTTCTCTCCTCCCCAATTATATTAATTTATATGGTCATCACTGGTCAGTAGCAGTGCTGTTATTTTGGATAATTTATCCTGGCTCTGATTAATCATGTTTTCAATTCATGTGCAGCTTTTTTGTTAGTTTTGTTAATTCTCCTAAATTTACGACCATGTTGTAAACTGAAAAGATATTTTCGTTTTGACATTTATTCTTTTTGCTTCTTTTTTCATGCCCCATTGAAATCTCAAACATCTTCAGTTCAATGCTAAGAAACAGTGATTTTTCAGCATGAACTGAGTTTTTGGGGTACCACTATTCAGAATATCCTTGCCCAAGGCTAATCTTTATTCCATGAACTTTCTGTGTTCTTTAAACATGTCCCTTGCCCTGCCCCAACCTTGAACTAATGTGAATAAATCTTGGGAATTTAATTCCACCTAGACTGTGTACTTAGGCTAGGTAGCTACATGCGTTCATAATGATCAGATTGCGGTATGTGAACTTGTACAACCAGCAGTGAAAGTTAGGTATGAATACTCAGATGGATAGTGAACTTGCATAGTGTGTAAAATTTTAACTCATCTCTGAATGGTGACTCAAAAATAGTTTGATGCATATTGAATCTTATAATCATGGTAGGAACCATGATGAACTAGAGTCTATTCTAAGCCTTTTACATGCATTAACATTTAGTTCTCACAGTAACACGAGACGTGGTTCTCAGTGGGAGGCAATCTCCCTTCCCAATCTTGGGACATTTGGTACTATCTGGAGATAGTGTTAGTTGTAATAGTCCTAGCTGTGTGTGTATGTGTGTGTGTGTACTATTGGTATTGAGAACTAGAGACCAAAGATGCTGCTAGATATTCCACAGTTTGTAGGAGAGTAGAAGTCTCCTCCAACAATTATCTAGCCCAAAATGTTAGTGGTGCCTCTATTGAGAAACTCTTTATCTAGAGGCACTTGCTCCAATTGTACCGTGTTATAGCCAAGGAATAAGAAGAGAAAATCTGTGGTACTCCCTGGACCAACTTTGACTTAATGAGAAATGCTTTTTGAATATATGTTTCTAATTTTTCCCAACTTCATGGTTGGAAAGGTTTTGAGTTGAGTATCGTATCAAAACAAGATTTAGAAGTTTTCTATGGGAGTTTAAGTATTAGCCATTATTATTATGGTTACCAGTGCCTCTTTCCCTAATCTGCCTACATATACTGGCTTCAGCTACTAAGAACAATTTGTTGGATTTTCTTTGTGCCTTTTGTTTTCAGTGCCATGGGGGATGATCCATTCAGTTGTTTTTTTTTTAATTAGCCAACATATTTTTTTGAACATCTCTATCAGGTCCTAGATGTGGTGGGGTTGCAGAGTTGCCCAGAAATAGAAGTCTTGATTCATTGGGTCAGACCAGTGCCCAAAAGGTTAAGTTCTATTTAAGGGGCATAGCTTAAAAGGTACCCATCTCCATCATAGCTCAGTGAGAGGCAGCAGGACAGGTACCACAGCACACACTGGGCTGTCAGTAGATCTGAGCTTAAGTAAGTGTTAGTGCAATCTCTTACCAGGCCATGGCTTGTAATTTATCTGACCCTTATTTTATCACTTCTAAAATAGTAATGATACTACCTACCTCACAGCATTATTATAAATAAAACATTAGAGATGAATGTACAAAAATCCCTGAGTACAGGATAGGTGCTCAGTATTGCCTGGAACTATGATAAATCTGCAGACAGTGGGCTTGTCTTAGGTCCATGGAACCAGTTGATATTTTTAGTCCATGTCAACCTACTGAGGCCATTTCTTACTTGAGACACCTGTTGAAAAGATTTCCTGTGTCCTCTGGAATTGGGCAGAACTGGCCACTAATCATAACCCTGCTGCTGACTAGTTCTGTGAATCACTCTTTCTCCTGCCTTGGCCTTTTCACCTGGAGACTGAAGATAATAATGCTTTCTATCGCTCAGTGTTCTTCTGAGGATTAAACGAAGTCATCCACATAAAATGTTTCTAGTATATATTGGGCTCAGAACAAGTGATAGCTACTATTTATCCTACAAGTACAAATGGTAGCTTTAGCACTTCAAATTTGATGACTGTCTTACTCATACTCTTTATTTTGTTTTATTTTTTCAGATTTCATTATTCTTTTCTAAATTCACTTACAGTTGTGCCATTTTTAAAAAAGTTCTATTCCTATCTTTGTTAATATTTGTAAGTGATTTTATTTAGCTGCAAGTTTGGGATACATAGAGTTTTGTGTGCTGTTTCTCTTGGTTAATGGTGTCTGTGTTTCCTAAACATTGCTGTAATGACTGCATAATGTATCTCTCAGTAGACATACCATAATCTAATAATTTCCCTATGGCTGTGCAGTGATGTTGTTTACAGTATTTTGCAAGTATAATGTTTCAACAAATGAATAACTTCAAGTATATAGGTTTTTGATATTGTAAATGTAGCTTCCTATGATGAGTTCCCAGGAATATTACTTGGTCAAAGGGGATAAACACAGATTTGGAATACATATTGCCAAACTACTCTCCTCAAAGCCCAAGTGGTTTGTTTTCATCTTCATTACTTTATAAACTTTGGTTCATTCTCTTACCCAACAAGCACTTGCTAAGCCCTTATGGGGCAGGCTTAGTGAGAAGAAAATAGCCCTCGGGAGATGCCCATGTATAAATAGGGTCCTGCTGTGCCAAGTACTGATAAAGGGGTGGAGAACCTGGGGACTGAGAGACAACTTCTAGTACAGCTGCTAGAGAAATTTATTTTCTCCGCAGAGTCACCACTATGTTCTTTGGCAGAAAAGAAATGCCTCCCTCTTCCTTTATTGAGACATAATTAACAATTAAAAGTTGTATATCTTTAAGGTATATGATGTGATATTTTCATGAACATCAACTTAAAAAATGAACATGAAATAAAAAGACATTCACTATGAAAGAAAAAAGAAAAGGGCTTGAATGTCACTTGCAGGCTTGGAGATTTCAGTGTGTATGTTGCTTCTTTGGGATTATTTACAGAAATATTTAGCAAGACCAGCCCCAACTTTGTTCTTGGGAACCCCACTATCAGCATGTGCTTTCAAAGTGGGATACATTTGCCTTTTCTTCTTTCTTGATGTGCTATCTTCACAAACTATAATTTTACAATTATATGTTACAGTCTTACAGTTTTTTAAATTCCTTTAGAGAAGTAATACATGCTTGTTATGGAGAATTTAGAAAACAGAAGAAAGTATTTTTTGAAAGTCAGCCATGTTCTTATGACTCCAGGACATCCATGGTTATTATCTTGTTTTATTTCCTTTTAGAAAGAAGATTAAAAATGAGTTTAATGTAGAACCATACCAAAGGTCTTGGGAAATTAAAAGCTAATTATTTAAAATAGCAAAAATCAAACAACAAATAATAAAACAAAGCAAAAATCCCCAAACACTCTGAAATACAAGCAATAGGTGAGGGTTAAATTATGACCTTGTCTTAAGAGTAGAATTTCAAGTGGCCATTAAAACACTTAAGAGAACGTTTTCTGCAATGGAAAATGTTCCCCGGGTGATGAAGCAGGGTAGGAACAGATGACTTTGAGGGACCAGGGAGTTACAGTGGGAGGAGGGTGCATGGAGTAGTGGGAGAGCCAGGGGCAGGTCTTTTATCTCAGTCTAAGATTTTAGTGAAGGATGTTATACTTGGATGGGTCTTGAAGACTGAGCAGAGTGGGTCTGAGGAAGCAGGCAGAGAAGCATCTTCCCTGATTTAAGGAAGGCATGGAGGTAGAAAATGGTATGTTACAAGGTGAGAACTGGAAATAATTAAATGTTGTCAAAGCTCAGAGAGTGGTGAGGGAGGCTGGAGAAATTGTCCAATTGTTTTCTTTTTTTTTTGGTACTGGGGATTGAACTCAGGACCTTGTGCTTGAGAGGCAGGTGCGGTGTCACTGAGCCAAGTCCCCGGCCCTAAATTGCCCAATTGTTAAGTGAATTTTCTGTGCATTTCCCAGAGTCTAGTAGTATTGGGCATTATGTTACTTTTAAAATTCATATTGCTCTGTTTTATTTTCTACTCAGTGTCAGCTATTGCTGGAAGTGGCCTGGCCTCTATTTATCTTCCTGGTCTTGATCTCTGTTCGGCTAAACTACCCACCTTACGAACAACATGAATGTGAGTATTTGTGGACCGTGCCTGAGACTCACCACTGGAAAGTGAAATCCAGTCAATGAACAAGGGCTAAATTTACCTTTTCCAAAGATGCTTTCTTTAGGGAATACCCACATATGGCTTGAAACAGAAAAGCTAGGCTTCTGATTTTTTGATAAGACATTGGCTGAGGAGACTATATTCAGTCCTGGTGAGTGGTGTTAATAGTAATGATAACAGTAGTTGACATCTGTTTCACACATTTTAAATCATGAAAATAAAATTACTTTATTGAGAGTTCAGAAGTGGTGATTAAAAACACTCTGAAGGCAGTGGTTTAGCACCATACATCTGGTCCCTGCTGGTGTTTTCCATATGCATTGAGTCTTAATCACACAGTTGAAAATCATGGAACTCATTAAGTTGCATTTGTGTAAAATATCTCAGTTTGACTAATATATTTCTTTTGATTATCTTAAAAACCTTGTGTAGTAAACTACTATCACTTGCATTAATATTTTGATAAGTACACTGGGGCTAATATAGGTTTAGGGACTTGTCAATGGTCCCACATCTTGTAGATGTAGGCTAGAGACAGAGTAAAACTCAGGTTATCTGACTCTCATTCCTGCGTTTTGAAGATGGCCTTTACAGTGAGGCTGGGAAATAACAGTAGTAACTAAGAGCACAAACATATCTTGGTTTGAATTTGGGTTTCACTGGGGACACCACTTGGGCAAGTGACTTCAACTTCCTTTAAAAATTGAAATGGTAATACCTTATATTATTGATTATTGTCACCCTACAATCCTAAGCTTTTTTGTTTGTTTGTTTGTTTTTGAGACTGGGTCTCACTGTGTAGTTGAGACTGACCTGGAACTCACTATGTAGCCCAGGCTGGTCTCGAACTCACAGCAATCCTCCTGTCTCAGCCTCCCGAGTGCTGGGATCACAGGTGTGTGCCACCACACCCAGCTTACAATCATAAACTTTTATGGATGGGCTTGATGGATGGATTGACATTGTAGAAAGTGTTCAAATCTAAAGGATCACCACTTAGGGGATTTCAGCTGGAACCTCAGGTGTGCTGTCCCTAGGACTTTCCTTACCACTAATCTGCTCTACCCATTGCTCCATCAGACCCATAGTCTTACAGGGTTTTTTTCTTCTAGGAAAGGCATGGGGCCAAAGTATTTTTAAATCACATGTCTTGGCCTGCTCCCTTCTTTCCCAGCACATAGCAGCAGTGACTTACATACTAATTTTCTAATACATATCATGCAAACTCAAGTTAAACATACACAACCTCAAGGACATTCTTACAAATATGATTTTCTTATTTCATCAAAAAGGAATGAAACAGATAATGAAATCTATGCAGCATTGATGGGTCTATGAGTTAGTTCTGCTTTTTCTCTGGAAATCTCAAAGGGTTTTTATTGATTGATTAGCAAGTACACATGCGGTTGTACTTAAGCATTGCTCTGATCCCCATTTTAGGGCATGCTCAACTTTCTCATCCTCAGGTTAGTCTCTTTCTGGGATGATCACAAGCAGGCAAGATGGGGTAGAGGGGGTAGTACAGATGTTAGCATCAGGCAAATTATTTGGATTTTGGCTCTGCCATGCACTGGGGTTGTGATCTTGGACGAGTTGTTGAATATCCATATCCTTCAGAGGCCAGACCTTACATTTTCGAGTGTTATGAAATTCTTGTACTTATAGAAAGCAGGTAAAACTTTCCCCATCCATGTGTGTACTTTTTGCAAAATTACCTTTCGTCCTCACTTCTCTCTAGGGACCTCATTGGAAGAGCAGAGTTGAAAGCTAAGATGAAGTTTGTAGAGGTGTCTTATCTTGGGAACAAGGGACTAGTGTAGGATTTTTCTCCATAAATGCTTCCCAGTTCAACCTAGGATCATCGGAGTCCAAATGGCTTCCCTGGGTGGGTCCTGGGAATCCATTAGTTAGTTGTTTGATTGTTATGCTTTACACCCAGTGCTTAATCTTCAACCTGCTTTTGCTTGCAAATAAGTGGGGCACAGCATAGTTGTATATATAAAAGGTCTTTGCTTCCCCCACCGATGGGCAGCCTGAAATACCTTCACCATTGCTGCCTGTACTGCTTTAAGCTGTACTTCCCTGCCTTCAGTGTCATTATTTCTGGGAGTGGAACGAAGAGTATCCCTTGGTCGTTGGAGTATTTGGTTGTGTTACATAAATATCTGAATGGGGAGCAGCTGACTTAGGCAAGGGGCCTTGTTTGGTTTTCCTTGAACTATTAACAGACAGATAAAAAGATTACCTGAGTAAATGTTCAGCAGGCCAGAGTCCCTGCAGACTGGCCACAGGGATCAAATCTTGTCCCATCCTTGCTTTAGATGTTGTCTCTGATTGGAGGATAGGTAGAAGGAAAAGCTAGAAGGCCTGCAATGTAGTTGTGCAAAGTGCGGCAAAGTCTGGTTTTGGGTTAACTTCTCAGGAGTCTCTTTTTGCACATTTGCATAATGATAGAAGGATGAATGAAACAACATTCTTACTCTGAAGGAAGGTAGTAACTGTGAGAGAGAAAAAGTGGGCAACGGTTCTGGCTGGGCAGCAGAGGAAGTACTAGTGTAGGCTCATCACCATGGTGCCTCAAAGCTAGCAGGGCATGGTGATGCATGCCTATAATCCCAGCACTCAGGAGGCTGAGCCAGGAGGATTGCTGTGAGTTCAAAGCCAGCCTGGGCCATGTAGTGAGCTCAAGGCTAACCTGAACTACATTTCCAGACTTTGTCTCAAAACAAAACAAGTCCTTAAAAATAGGCCCATTCCCTGAGCTTTTATCCTGTGCTAGGCACTCTACCAAAGTATTTTGCTGGTAAGAGCCCACATAATATTTACCTCATGCATTTTATCACTCTTGCAGATGTGAAAAACTAAAGGTTAGGAGATTTGTTAGTAATGTGGCCAAAGTTGCTTCTTAGCAATATGCAGTGACTTCATGTGAATCCCAGTTGATCTGCCCCTGAAATCTGTGAAGCTACAAGTTCTTTACCACTCAGAGTTGTGGCTCCTAATGGTTGTCAGCTTTTATGGGTCACTTATAACCCTGAGAAGATGATGAAAGCTGGAACTGTGGGCTTTCTGTCCAAACTTGAACAGGCTTTTGGGTTAAGAGCCCCTGATCTAGGGCACATTTATCATGATTCCTTAAGTAGCAGCGATGGATGACTCTACAAACCAGTCTGTGCCTTTGAAGCTTTGGACCCAGCCTGGACGTGACCCATCATGCTGTTAGTGAAAGTTTCCATAATGAAAGGAAAAGAGGGTGAGGGTGAAAAGGGTGATCCTGGGGTTGGGGCCTCATTTTTCTGATGAGTGACAAAATACATGTAGCTCCCCAGATGACATCTGAACCCAAGTGAGCATGTTTTTGAGGAGCCTTTGAGGACCCTTTGAACTGGCAGAGGAGACAAAACTCAAACAGTTGGCAAACTAAGGAGTGTACCAGAGGGAATGGAGAAGTAGATTACAAAAGAAGGTACAGATACAAGGAAGGAACTTGGATTGGGATCATGGAGATGATCTAGTCATCTATTCTAGTCACTCCCACTGGCTCCCTCAGTGTTCTTCATTGGCTACCATAACCGGGTGTAGTTTCCTTCTTAGAATGTGAAGGAATTGGATTAGGGTGCCCCCAAGGCCCTTCTGTGTTGCTGACAGGCGAGGCTGGTGGTAGAAAGTGAGCTAATGATGACCAAGCACTTGCTGCAAACAGGCACTTTCTGTATATGGCCCAGTCTACCCCACTTATCACTTCTCCAAGATTGGTGTCATGAACCCCACTCTACAGATGATGTCGTGCAGGTTAAGAACAGCTTGATGCCAGGTTCCCAACTCAGGGTCAGATTAGTCCAAAGGAGCAAAGCTCTGGGATGTGGAGAATGTGACAGATAGATTTGGAGAAAGTAGGTGGGATCTCAAAATTGTTTCAGACAATTAATGTTTCTCCCTGTTTTTCTTCTCTATTTCAACAGGCCACTTTCCAAACAAAGCCTTGCCCTCTGCAGGAACGCTTCCTTGGGTTCAGGGGATCATCTGTAATGCTAACAACCCCTGTTTCCGTTACCCAACTCCTGGTGAGGCTCCTGGTGTTGTTGGAAACTTTAACAAGTCCATGTAAGTACCAGATCAGGTTTTCTTTTGCACATGTATCATTTAATACTTATCCATGCTTTCTTGGAAAGGTTTGTTCAGAAAAGTCTGCAGAATGAAGGAAGAGGATTGCTTTAGGATTTAAGGCTGTAGGGTGGGATGTTACTTTGATGCATTTTAGGAGTAACAAGGATATGCAGCCAAAAGCTGTTTGGTTGGAGGCTGTTCCTCCAAAAACTGGCTAATAAGAAGGGAAGGGAGACATAGCCCAACTGGTCTGCCTAATAATCAGTCCACTTATTAAGCGACACATGAGAAATGGGGGAGATGGATTCTTGGAACTGAGTTCTGCACAGCACAAAGATAGGCACTGGAAGGGGTCTGGCCCTCAGGGAGATTACAGGTCAGGCCGAGGGTGTCTGGCCTCTTCTCTCAGGTCACTGCTCTTACATCAGTGTCACCTGTCTGAAGGTCATTTTCTCCCTGGTTAGGGGCTGCTTGAGAGCAGGAGGCTGCTTTCTTTGCTTTTGTATTGCTGGCTCTTAGTTTGGATGCTGGACATAAGTAGGGGCTTTTTCAAATTTTGCCAAATGAGACACCAAAGAGTCATTCTCTTAGGTGCTTTTCTCTTGTTACTGAGACAGAATATCTGACATCCAAAGGTAAAGCGGGGAAGATTTAATTTTCTTTGCTTTTGTATTGCTGGCTCTTAGTTTGGATGCTGGACATAAGTAGGGGCTTTTTCAAGTTTTGCCAAATGAGACACTGAAGAGTCATTCTCTTAGGTACTTTTCCTCTTGTTGCTGAGACAGAATATCTGACATCCAAAGGTAAAGGGGGGAAGGTTTATTTGCCTTATAGTTTGTAGAGGTTTCAGTCTATAGTTGGCTGGCTCCAAGGCAGAGTGGCACATGGCAGAGGGGCTTTGCAGAGGCAAAACAGTTCATTGCACACAGAAGACAGAAAAAGCAACAAGTAAGAGGCCAGACAAACCTCTTTCTGTCCTTCATATTGTATCCAGGCTGCCGGGATTAGGGCGATGCCAAACCAATCAGTGGACTGGTTTAGTAATCACTCACCCTTAATCCCAGCACCCTGAATCCTAGCATTGCACTGTGAATCAGTTACGCACGCTAGATTCAGCCACCTCTGAAAAAGCCCCACTTATGACCATGTGAAGCTTTTGGTGGACATTTAGACCCAAACCATAACATCTTCAAGTGCACAGAATCATGCCAAGTAGGATCTGCTTCAAGACAATTCTGAGGGTGCTGCCATGGAGGCAGGCAGGGCCATCTTGTAAAGTTCGTGGACCACATGCTCTGGAGCCTCTGTGGGCCCTTTGTTCCATCCACAGATACTAAAAATTGCATTTTGTGACTGTGTTCATGTAAAGATGAATGTAATCCATGGCAGAATTATTATTATAGATGGACCCTTATGAAATTCATTTTTCATTCTGAGTTCTTAAAAGATGAAAATGCTTTCATGGGCTTCTAAGAATATCTTGGGCTCTAGGCACTGGTATTTATCTGCTGTGCCTCAGCAGATAAATCTGCCGTGTGTGTTTGTGTGTGTGTGTGCATGTGTATGCACGTGCGCGTTTCTGTGTGTGTATGTGTGTGTTGGATGGGCTTTGAGGGTGATTTAGGTGTTTAGACCCACAAGAAAGGCATTTGAAGCAAAGGTAATGAATGGCAGGTGGGAGTAGAGGTTCCCAGTGAGGCTGGAAGAGGGGAACAGGAGAAGTGGCCAGGATTGCCTGTGGGGGGTCAGGAAACCAGGCTGGGGCAGAAGGACTTGGCAGTCACTTTCTCAAAGTGAGAGGGGCAGCT